ATGACAATATCATCGACATATACAACAAGATAGATACATTATCGCCTGTAGAATGTCTATAGAATATAGAATGGTCAACATCACTTCGAATCATTCCAAATCCACGAATAACAACACTAAACCTCCCACGTGGAGATTGTTTCAAGCCATATAACTAACGACGTAATTTGCACACCAAAACTGTCTCCCCCTGATCAATAAAGCCAGGCGGTTGCACCATACAAACATCCTCGTGTAGATCACCATGAAGAAATGCATTTTTATATCCAACTGAAATAAAGGCCAGTGACTCATTGCCACATGGATAAAATTAAACGAACAGAAGCAATCTTGGCAACGAGTGAAAATGTGTCAGTGTAATCTAACCCATAGATTTGAGTGTATACCCTTTCACCACAAGGCGTGCTTTAAAACGATCAATGTTACCATCAGGGCCAACATTGATAGTGCATATCCACTGACACCCAACAATTTATTTGCCAAGTGGGAAGGAAGACTAAATCCCACATCCCATTAGATTGAAGAGCCTCAATCTCAGTCAACATAGCTTTACGTCATTCCGGATGTGCCAATGCCTCGTGTGGTTTTAGGAATGGAGATATGAGACAGGTGTGAAATGAAAGCAAAGTAAGGGGTAGAGAGGCGGTGATGACTCAAAAAGCTATATATAAGATGTGGGTTCAAAGTAGAGCATGTACCTTTTCGGAGGACAATGGGCAAATCATCCTGAGTAGGTTCAGGTCAGGTGCTAGAACTTGTAAGGAATAAATATATTTAGATTTTGATGATGCTAGATTAATTAGAATATTAGAGTACCCCCTTTAGAATTTTGTATTAGAATCGTTTTCCTAGTGTAAGCACTTTAGTATAGTCGACTGAACAGAAGACCCCCAGGTTCTCTGTTAGCCTCTATCCTGACAGAAGTGCTCGAGGCCCTCTGTGTTTGCCTCTCTGTTATAACACATCAGAAGACCTCACACTTAGAAGTTTTCATAAGCCGGTAAAACCAACGGAAGATTCCCTCAATGCCAAGGAGACTTCAACGGAAAAGCTACTGTACAAGCATTTAATGCTCATTTAATGAGCTCCATACCCTGTAGAGTTAAAGTTGATGATTGGCCGACATTCCAGGAGAACTTTATCCCAAAATAGCAACTCGCCCACTTTACTGGGTCCTACCGGTCAACTCTACAGGACACACATTTAATGCAGTTATCTCCCTCCTCCAACGGGAAGACAACCTTAGTATATATGATACAACATGAAGAACAACCGGATAACTTTTGCTATCTCTACAACATTCAAGAAAGCTTTAGACCTCAACTTCACCTTCAAAAACATTCAGGAAAGCCTTACGTTAGAAAGATAGTATTTTCACATCTTCTTACTCCAACAAAAGCAAAGTTCCTCCAGTTCTTCAACACTTCAAACACTTCATATACACGTCCTTTGTGACGAAGCAAGTTGGAGAAACCTATGTTTTTACAAAATAATCTTTTTATCAAAGAAGGACGTCCAAAGTAACTAGAGTAGTGAAGTGGGGATACTTCAAGAAACTCAGTGAAAGGACTAGTCATCAGGAAGCTAGGAAGCGCATCCCGGGTGATAACTAGATTTGAAGAAAACGTAGAGAGCTTCTTAAGTGCTAGGACTAAGGCATTGTAAATTGTTGTTTTTGCAAGCTTAGTGGAACAGTGGATTAGAGGAACACGTTGTTCCTTGAACCACTATAAAAATCTCTGATTTTATTTACTTTACGCATTTACTTTCCTGTACTTAGATTCTAACTGTTTAACTCAAAAAGTTTGGATTCTGTGTTCAACAGAACTCCCTTGTGAGTTAACAGAAAGGCATTTGCCTTAGTGTTTTCCTGAGAACTATCCGCTGCCAAGTCCAGTTATGTCACAAGAACTCGACCCTCTCTGTCACCAGAACCTGACCAGTTCTGTTACCAGAACATGACCTTCTCTGTCAAGTCTGTTAAGACTTAGAGAAAAGTTTGAAAACTTGAACAGTCTATTCACCCCCCTCTAGACTGTTCCTTGTATAAACGGGACCAACAGAACTGATGGTGATGACGTTGGATCAGTGGTAAGGGGATCACGAGGCGTTGTCACAATAGGCCCAATGGAAGGAGGTCGAAGACGACAATGGTATACTTGTAATGGACCGTCTGCCATAGGAGGACAGTTTAGATGCTCATCTGATGTGGGGGAAATAGGAGTATTTGGAAGGATGGGTTGGAGATATGAGGTGAAGTCCATAAAAGAGGGTGTATCAACCAAAGATAATGGGTAATAAAAGGAAGACTCAATAAAAGTGACATCGGTCGAAAAAAAATGTTTCCTAAGTAAAGGAGAATAACGACGATAACCCTTTTGGAGTTGTGAATATCCTAGAAAAATGCATTTTATTGACCTAGCTGACATTTTAGATAACCCAGGTGTCAAATCATGGACAAAACGCACACTCAAACACATGAGGTGGTAATGGGAATAATTCACGAGTAGGAAACAAGACTGAAAATGGAATTTCATTACTAAGAATTGAGGAAGGCATGCGATTAATTAAATGACACAAAATGAGCACAGAATTTGCCCAATACTAAGGTGGTGTATGTGAATGTAATAACATGATTCAAGTTGTAACAACTAAATGTCAGTTCTTGAGTTCAGCAACCCCATTTTGTTGAGGCGTGTGAACACAAGAAGATTGGTGATGCATACCCAGTGATGTCATGAATTGATTAAAAGGGGCCGCAAAAAATTCTTTAACGTAATCACTGCGTAAACTTTTGATAGAATTGCCAAACTGAGTCTGACTTTCAACACAAAAAATTGAAAAATATTAAACAATTCAAAGCATTCTTTCATTAAAAATAACCATGTGTAATGCGAAAAATCATCCACGAATATAACAAAATAACGAAATCCTAAAGTAGAAATGACTCGATAAGGACCCCATACATCAGTATGAAGTATGAACTAAATCAAACAGTGATGCAGCACGTTTATTAACCCGCGTTTATTAACCCGCCTTGGAAAGGATTTACAAGGTTGCTTTCCAAGGTGACACGACTCACACTCTAAAGATGAAAGATTTGAGAAACCTGGAACCAGACGTCGAGACTTTGAGAGACTAGGATGACAATTATGTATGGTAATGGTAGGTTGAGCCGATGCACAAGCGATTGGTTCAAGAGGGTGGAGATGATACAGACCTTGAGATTCAGCCGTACAACGGTCCTACAAAGTCATAGAATCAGCCGAAAAGGTTAGTGAGCAATTAAGGGCACGTGGGATTTTGCTAACTGAGACAAGATTGAAGGGGTTGTTAGGAACATATAAAACCGAGTCTAATGGTAAGGATGAAAGAGGAAGTGCTTGCCCAATACCCGTGGCTGACGTTTGAAGGGCATTAGCAAGAGTTATCAAAGGAAGGTGTTTTTGCTTGATAATATGAGATAAAAGATGGGGATTACCAGAAATATGATCTGAAGCACCTGAGTCAATAATCCATGAGGTTGTGATGTTTGAAACACAAGCAATAGATGTCCCAGGTGTAGATAAAGACATTACCTGACTTGAATTTCTGATATGTGGCAGATTCGACTAGAGATAAACAATCAGAGATGGTGGAATCTGAACAACATTGGTTAAACTAGGAGGTTTTCCATGTAACTTCCAACAGTATGACCAATCTTATGACAAAAGTCACATTTAAGACGGTTTTTTCGTGTGTATCCTTTGTTAGTGCCTCTGTCACGCCTCGAAGCAAATGAAGAAAAACATGCACTCATTTTTTTGTTTTTTTTTTGTTTTTTTTTTGGCAGAAATTTAAATAATAGTTTCCAGCAACAATTTCAAAAATAATTTTCAGCAGAAATTTAAATAATAACTTTGGCACCAGCAGTGAACAACTCCCTCCCTACGCAAGAGAACAACAGCAGCGGCGAAACACAACAAGCTGGAAGGCTTGGAAGCAAAGGGCTATGAAAACAGACCTGTCCCTTGAGCAACAGTAGCTGAGCACTAGAACAACAGCACGGGTGGCGAGTATGGGCAGCGACGGCGGCGGTGGCAGCTTGTACAGCGGCGGCGCGTGGAGGGACAATGGACTGCCGGACTGGCTGGTTTTGGTTGCCAAGGACTGCTGTTTTTGATAATCTGGTCGGTGTCGATGTCAAACGAGTAGAAAGTAGTAGATCTGCAAAAAACGTACAGTTGCAGGTGTTAACTTCAGCAGCGCGTGGTGGCGCGTGGATGAGGCAGCGGCGGCAGTTTTCCCAGCGGTAAATTGCAATGAGCACGACGGTAGGTTTAAATCACTACCAGAAGCACAACATACACGACCACTATTCACACCGGAATTTCTGGCCGGTGTTTCTGCTCGGAATTTCTGATTGGCAGAAATATTATATCACTAACTAATTATATTTGTCATATTGTCTCTGATATCATGTGAAATATAAGATTATATTCACTATACTTCATATTGAAATGCTATACAAATAGCTCTATTTATAGGTATATTAGAGCATTAAGGTTTCTATACACAAATGGGCTAAGCCCAATCCAACTAGGGTTTCCACAGAATGATTTCAATTTCATCCTAAAGTCAACTTCATATGACAATGAGGAATTTCCAGGGATTTTGTACATCGGATTTGAGTTTTTATATTTTTTTATGCTCAATGACTAAACATGTTTTAGGATAGGGGTAAGACTGCGTACATCCGACCCCCCCTTACCCCACCGTAGGTGGGAGCCTTTGCGTCACTGGGTAAATGATGAATGATGAATGAATAATGACTAAACATGTTTTGTTTTGAGTCTACCTTATTAAATTCCAAGAAAAAAGAAGAAGAAATCCCCACTTTCAAATTTTCTCACATTACTGCATCAATTTAAATGACAGAAAAACTAATTTCAAATTTAAGGAACAACTTGCAAATAGTTTTGCAACATATCAAGTGAAACCTTCTTTCTGTAAAGCAATACCTCTTGAACATGAAGTTTTGAGTCTTCGGTGAGAGCAAGAAGAAGCTGCCTACGAATGCCCTCATCGAGAAGGAAAACTCGAGCTCCATCCTTGATTGTGTCAGTGAGATCCAACTTCCGCTCAACTTGAATGTCTTTAATATACCTCTGCCTGTGAACAGAGCTGATGGTGACTGGGTAAGTTAAATATTAAAAGCGAAAGCTCACAGAAATGTCTAGCAATGGATACACACATGCTACTATTCCCTTGGAATGCAGGGTTGCTGCTCATCTTTGTCACGTTTTCCTTGGCAAGAATGATTAGATTCTCTAGCCGTTTCCACTGAAATGCACCATCCTTGAACAAAACCTGACAAGTGTTCATGATCAGACGATTGTGAGACTAATCTTTTATGGAAATAAAACATTTGAACATAAATCAATACTTTTAAATTATAATAACAACCTCTATAATAATAATAATTATTATTACTACTACTACTGCTACTATTATTATTTTATGAGTTCAACAAAAGCAATACTTTTTTTGCTTCATGAGTGTTTCTCTTTTACCAAAAAATATAAAACTCTCACATCTCACACAAGTTGTATTGCAAATCAATTATAGACCAACTGTGATCTTTGATATTGCACCAACTGTGATTATAGGGCCAATCTAGGTTCTGGTCCACCCCAAAACTAAAAAATTTTGTGTGAAAACTTTTTCAAAAATATTCTTTGTATCGGCCACATTTGTTAGTGTATTTCAAAAAGTGATTCACTTTTGTGTTAGTCAAATGCCTGCACTTTTTTATATAGCGATGCACATTTAGCATTTTATGTTTTAAAAAAGTTGCTAATATGTACACTTTTATCCATAATTCACACTTAAAAATTGATTTGATCCACTTATAAATTAATTGATTTGAATGGCTAAAATTATTTCTCATTTTCATATGAGTACTTTATATTTAAACCGTCCGCTATGTTTATATATGTATATCATAACGTATATATGTATACATAAGTACAATTATACTAATATGCATATAATATAAAAATACATGTTGACATACATCACGTATTAAGAAATCAATATAAAATAACTAAGAATACATGAAAGAAAAAACTGGAGAAAAAACAAAATAGAAAAGAATTAGAAATCTAAATATTTTTTGTTTGGATTAAAGTTAATCTCATACTCCGTATCAATAAACATTGAAGTACTCTGTATTAAAGAAGCTGGTGAAAGCAAACGGTGTTAATTACATCCGTGAGTGGGTGGGTGTTATGCACCTTCTCCCATTAATTTTGTATGAAATGTGTTAAAGCATTTGTCTCACACCGGAAAGCTATAAAACAATTAAACACTATATAAGGTCTTGAACTACTCCTCCTATCAGGTTGACCTTTTAGGATGGAACCCCAGGCCTTAACATGGTATCAGAGCCAATTCTGAGTGTGGTTTAAAGGCTTGTTTAGCACCCATGATTAAGGGTAGTTTTTTTTTGTCCTGAGTAACCGCCATTACACTGGGTAAATGTCGGGGAACATTTACCAAATTTTATTAATAACAAAGTGGAGGAGGTACAGAAAATGATTTAAACAACAACAATAAAAATAAAAACAAAAGGGGATCTAGGGGCCCAGGAGCTACCGTCCAAAGAAGCCCAGATAACATTCCGTTCCAACATAATACTGCCAGGGGCCATTGTCGTTCAAAAATAGGGTTTCTAGATGTATCCTTAGAGAGGTGCCGATCTATCTTATCATCTTCTTCCGCTGAGAACTTCCATTGAGATGGGGTTCACCCTGTGTCCCGAAAAAAGGAGGCCCCATTTTTATCTTCGTAGTAAGCTTTTCTGGTGTTTGAGGGCATTTGGATAAGAGAGAGCAATACGGTCGTGAGTTGTTGAAGCCCAAATTGTGCGAGATGATGAGCGCAGTAATTCGTTTCTCTGAGCCGATGACGGAAGGAGAGTGTGCAGGCCAGTTTAAGAACGTTGTGTTCCTTAACCAACGTTTCTAGATACCCAGGTATCGGTGAGTGCCCTTGTATCATTCTAATGCATTTTTGGGAATCTGATTGTACATTGAACGACTTGTAACCCTTCTTGACCATTTCATGAACCGAGTGATGTATTGCCTACATTTCCGCGTGGAGTGGGCTTGTAGAGGACATGGGGAATGCTATCGTAGATTTGAAGTTTCCTGTTTCTTCACGCATTATGGCACCTCCTGCGCTCTTGTTGTTGTTAAGGGTTTGTTTGGCCCGTTTATACACTCCGATATTGTCCAACCCGTTCGGGCTAAAGGGGCATGTTAAAGCATTTGTCGCATACCGGAAAGCTATAAAACAATTAAACACTATATAAGGCCTTGAGCTACTCCTATCAGGTTGACCTTTTAGGATGGAACCCCGAGCCTTAACAAAATGTTAAAAGGACTTTTTACATTAATATTACTAATTTAAAGCCAATTTCAAAAAATGTAACCACTTTTACAAAAGGACAAAAATGTGACCAAGGAGGTCATATATTTGGAAAAACATAGTTCTGTCAGATTTTTATGTCACTATTATTTTTTATGTCACTAATTTCATGTCACTTTTGAATGTCACTGCCGATTTTCATGTCACTTTAATATGTCACTTCCGCTGTCAAACGTGTGATTTTGCCGCCGTCAAACATGTCATTGTGTTGTTAATCATCTCCGCTCCAACCTCTGGCCACAGTGACATCTCGACTGCTGGTGTCATTGCCGCCACCAGTGTCACTATGATTGCCGGAAACGTAAATTTCAACCAAATTTGGCCGTCACGCCAACAGCACAGCCATTGTCGCCTCCCCGAGACCCAGATGACCAAGTCATATTTTTGGAAAAAGTAAAAGTGCTCATATTTATGTCCACTCAAACTATTGGAGTAATTGTTTTGCCATTATTTCAATGTTTTTTTTATCGTACCATTATTTCAATGTTAAATACTGGAAATTAATTCTTTTGAAAACTTATTAATGAATTTTAATTTGACAAAAGTTAAAACTTTAACCTCCTGGGTTGGAAGCGGTTATTTCCATCATTTCCAATGGAGCCAAAGACAGACTATTTTTTGACTTGGAAATATGATGGAACAAAGCAAAATGACTCACTAAATTGTATGCGCTTCTTTGCTATGAAGCAACAGTCAGTCCGTGTTATTTTTTACGCGATTTTCATCACAGGTCATCCGATGGGAGCCTTTGCAGCACTAGGATAATGTTATTGTTATTTTGGGGGGGATTAGATGATGTTGTAAGCTATTAGTTTTAGTAAATCTGTTTTTTGTCTTTAAGCCTTTCGCCACATAAGACCGGAGCTTTGCGGCACTGGGGTAATGTTATTGTTATTCTGGAGGGGATTGGATGAGGTTGTAAGCTATTAGTTTTAGTAAATCTGTTTTTTGTCTTTAAGACTTACGCCACATAAGAAAGTGTTGGTCCCGATTGTACTGGGTACAGTCTAGAGGGGGGTTGAATAGACTGTACTGGTTTTTAACTTTTTCAAGCTAAGTACCAGATTTAACAGAATATCCTGTTCTGTTGACAGAACAGACTGGCAGCGGATGGTCTTCTGGTAGGAGTTCTGTCCGGTTAGCCTCTAAGAGGTGCAAAGGCAGTAGGCCTTCTGTTAACTCACAGGAGGGGTTCTGCCGAACACAGAGACCCAAATTCTGGAGTTAATCAATTAAAGATAAATGCAAGAATTAAAAGCAGTAAGTAAATAACACCAGGGATTTTTATAGTGGTTCAAGGAACAACTCGTTCCTCTAATCCACTGTTCCACTAAGCTTGTAAAAAATCCAATTACACAACCTTAGTCCTAACACTTAAGAAGCTCTCCACGTCTTCTTCAAGTCTAGATGTCTCCTGGGATGCACTTCCTTGCTTCCTTTAAGATTGGTCCTCTCACTGAGCTTCCTGGAAGTATCACCACTTCACTACTCCAGTTACTTGGACATCCTTCTCGTTGGAGAAGAGTTCTTGAGAGAACAGGGGTTTTCCAACTAGCTTCGTTACAAAAGATTTGTTGTTGAAGTGCTTGAAGTGTTGAAGAACAGTTGGAACTTTGCTCTTGTTGGGATATGAAAATAGAGAAAATATTATCTTCCCAACGTACGTCTTCTTGTTGATGATGATGAAGTTTTTGTCTCAAGACGGCTTGTGCGTTTGAATTTTTGAATAATTTGAAAGAGCACGAGTTTTTCTAAGTTTTTGCAAAGTTGTGTTTTTTTTGTTGTTCTTCAAGTAGTATCTTTTATACTGGAGTTGTCTTCCCGTTGGAGGAGGAGGACAACTGCATTAAATGAGCGAATAGTTGACTTGACCAGTAGGACCCGGTAAAGTTGGCGGGTTACTATTTTGGGATAAAGATATCCTGAAATATCCTGGAATGTCAGCCAATCATCAGTTTTTACTCTTTAGGGTACGGGGTGCATTAAATGTGCATTTAATGCGCGTACTGTAGCTTTTCCGTTGAAGTCTTCTAGCCGTTGAAGGAATCTTCAGATGATTTCACCGGCTTGGGTACTTTCATGAAAATTCTCTAAGTGTCAGGCCTTCTTGTTTCTTCAACAGTGGATCAAACAGAGAGGGTCTCGAGCACTTCTGTTGGACTAGCTACCAGAGGGTCCTTAGGTCTTCTGTCAAGAGGCGAGTCAACAGATGGTCATGACAGTTTCTGCTCTTAGTGAAATCTAACAGAGAGCCAGAAGATCTTCTGTCTGGATATGAGCCAGCAGAGATCCAAAGGTCTTCTGTCATACTAAGCCTATCAGAGGGTCTTCTGTCAGGAGGTCTTCTGTCAATCGACTATACTAAAACATATACAAAGAAAATTCTAATACAATTTTCAGGGGGTACTCTAAAGTCCTATAGCATCATCAAAATCTAATTACAATTATTCCTTACAATTTCCCCCTTTTTGATGATGCCAAAACCCTTTAACTATTTCCAGAGAAGTGCCTTTCACCATAAAGGAATGAAGTTAAAAACTTTTCATTTAAAATCTTGGTGGGCAACTTAGCATAGGAAAATAGTAAGAGTACGGTACATTCAGATAACAGATAAAAATAAGAAAAACAGAATTGAAAAGCAATCATACATAGCAGATAAGAACAGGAGGAGTTGAATTGTCTTACAAAAATGAAAGGCAGAGATGTTCTTTTATTAAGGGATAGAGTAGAAATAGTCCATTACAAATTATCCCTTGCTGCTGCAACCATTGCTTGATCGTCCAATTCTTGCAATCTCTTTAGCTCTACATTGACAGCTTCTCGAATTCCTACAAGATTGCCAGTGCTCTGATGTGAGGCCCATATAGGTGAGAGCTTGC